TAGTCGTGTCGCATTGACGTCGTTTGATTGAAACGCGTCAGTTTCTCAGATGTTGACAGTCCTGCAGTCAGCCTGGCAAAAAGAAGTGGAAAGTTTATATGATGCAACTCTTAACACCCAGTCTAGAAGCGGTAACGTCGAAGAAGGTTCAAGAACTTCAAAGAGTCCGTATGTCCTGCCGTAAAGAATGCGGTTTGGGCCAGGAAGCGAATGACCAAACGTTTATTGGACAGTTGTATCCTACGATAGGCATATGAGATGCGGAACGAAACGGTCGGTTATGATTTACCTTCTTCGTAAATCTACGGGATTGTGCTCTATACTTAAAAGCCGCTTGAATTAAGGCTCTCTTGCAAAACTGAAATTCCCATTATCTACTTCGTTCATGCTGGTCACAATTTAGAACCTACTGTTTTATGATTGGCCGTTTAACGTCCTGGAGTAATATAGATCAATTTCAATCACGTGCTACTGTCTTAATTATGAGAGTTTTCATAAAATGGAAGATATAACTGATTCCTTGACGATATCTCGTCGTGCATATCTGTCACGCGTACTTGCCACCACCATTAATATAATACATTCAGCTATTTTACGATGTAAATTAGTGCTTCATGTCACCTTAGTCTCAGCGTCATCCTCTATTCAGCTGTCAGGTGATATTTTATGTTAAGCACTGTTCCGTTTTCTGCTGACGTCATTAAAAGGTAACAAGTGGGTTACGGTAAAGTGCATGCAGTGAATAGCGTTGAACACAGGACTTCTGATATTTGGGCACGAATACATCAAGGAATCATATCATTCTAATGGCATGCAGGTCGTTTGGACTTTACCCCTTCCTCGACTGATTGCGGCAAACCATAAGTAGTTAATTACCTGGCAAAGTATCTGAAGCTCTTATGCGACAAGACCAGCCGCTAAGTATGGGCGAAACGCGTAAGTGCGTTAATATTGATCGTATAATCAATCATGACAGCGAACCGCGTCAAAAATGTACATTTTATTAATGAGCCACGAATCGACGAGTCAATCGCGAAATGCTAATGATTGTTTAGTACAGTGACTGCTACCTAAATTAAAACTAGCATTCAACATTCCCTCTAAAGAATTAGTGTTTTATTCTTGTGTTGATAATCGTACGGAAAATGATACAAAACGTGGTTTATTTTTACACAACGCCAAAGCTATAGTCAACATGATGAAACGACCGGCACCATTGTTTCAGCCCGTGTCTCACCGGCCTTCTTCAAGGTAAAAAGTTTGCTGACCTTGCAGGTCGTTTTCGAAAGTAAGCCATGTACGATCTTAATTAGCGAAAAGCCAATCTCGTCCTAATGAAATTATTCTTGTGGAACATGTGGCATGATTCAATAAACCAAACTTGGCATAGAGGTTACGCTTTTTAATCACCACTGGACGGCTGAATGCCAACTTGTGCTGTTCGAGTCAGTGTTTTGCACTGAAGTGACTTCGTTGACTAGCCAAGGAGGTCATAAACAACGGTTACAGCTTGGGGCTTTTTGTACGAGGGGCATTTTCGCCAAAGTTGGCGCCAACTCTGCGACCGGCAGGAAGCAAACACATATTCGAGGTGTTCTGTAAATTTCTGCTTCAGTGACGCCTACTGGTGCGTTCTGAAAATGTTTCCTGTTTAGTACGAGTTGTCAAAGCACTATTTCGTGGAAGCGCAGCGGGTGTGAATTTGTGAAGCAAATTTCCAGTCCACAGACCCACCCAAACATGGTCGTAAATTTCACGGCACAGTCGGCGATTGTCCGGTGACCATTGTGAACAGTCATACGGTAACGAGGAATCTTTGACAGAGTTTCGTCCACGTTTTTTAACGCTCTGGTCTTGAAATCTTTAGAAAGTAGAAATGTCGAGAAATCGGTTATTTCTCAATGCAGCTTCATTGTCGCACATTACAGTGAAACAGAAAATGACGCAATAAACTGGGCAGTGAAAAACAGGGCATCATTCGAAATCTAGTTCTCATACAGAAGCACATTTTATACGGAAAGTTTTATTAGCGTACGCTAATTTTTCAAGCCGATATTGTTTTGTGCGGTTGAAATGAATGAGTCGCTGGACGCTGAATTGTTTAGTGCCAGAATAAGCTAATAATGGGCGACAATAACTGATCGATGTTTCTTCGTAGTTAGCGAAATGCCCGTTACCGAATCCGGATGCTCAGGTTCATCATTCTCGTGCTGTTTGTCGCCACAAACTTCCATACCTCTGTTTCAACTAAACGTTCCATCTGAGCCGATGTTTTCCAATTAGGCCGTTGCAGGCTTGGGGGTATCAATCCGTCACGGTTGAATTCCCTCACCCGTCAGTCGTGCGATGTGTCCTGCCCAGGGTCGCTTTTCTTCCGAAACGCATCCAACGACCTTCATT